CCCGCCCGGGATGTCGATTACCCAGTCGTCGTCGTCGGAGACGCGTAGGCCGATGCGCTAGCATCGTCGGCGCCGAGTGGAGCGCGCACGCCGTGCTCCGCGAGCACGGCATCGAGGGCCTCACGGACGCGACCGAGACCTACGCCGCGCTCGTCGCCAAGGCCGACGCCACGGGCGTGCCGCTGGCGGCCGACGTCAAGGCCGCCCTGAAGTCGCTCGCGGGCTCCGCGAATGGCGGCTCGGCTCGAAGGGCGTGACCGACGCGGATCGGGCGGACCGGGCGACGGTCTTCGCCGACGAGCCCGAGATATTTGAGGCGTCGGACTGGACGTGCGTCGCGATCCGACAATTCAAGTTCGAGGCCGCCGTCAAGTCGGGCGGCGTCCGACGTCACGGCGCAGCACAGCGACAACGACCTCGTGGGCTCCGACTCCATGCGCGCCGTCGTCACGTCGAGGGGCTCCGCGCCCCAGATGACCTACTACATCGGCAACGAGGACCACAAGGGCAAGCTCGCGGCCGCCGGCGCGCGCCTCATAGGGCGGTCGCGAGGTGCGCGAACGCGGCGCGTGTGGGTTTTCGTGTCGCTCGCTTCCGCGCGCATTCGCGCGCATGCAGCTCCATCCCCCGTCCGGTGATGCGCCCGACGCGTGCGAGCTTCGCGTGCTGCTGGAGGACGTACGGCTGCAGCCGCGGCGCGCGCGCGGCACCGTGACGGCAACAAGATCGCGGCTCGGAGAGCGCCGGCGCTCTCTCAGCTCAAATCTCCACCCGCGACGACCAAGTGCACAGAGCATGGACATCATGGGCGCCCTCGCGGGCCTGCAGGACGAGTCTCAGGATGAGAAGAAGGAGGAGAAGAAGGAGGCGAAGCCCGAGGCCGTCGCCGCGGTCCACGCCGTCGAGGCCCCGGCGAAGAGCTGCCTCGTGCTCTGCGGGAGCACGGACTGGGTCGCCGCCGCCAAGGGCGCCGCGGGCAAGCAGAAGCAGAAGCAGGACGGCGCCCAGGGCGACCAGTTCGACTCGCCGGTCGTCGTCGGCGGCGCGCTCGCCGGCGTCCGCGTCTCCTACGTGTCCGTCGGCCCTTCCGCCGGCCACGTGCTCGCGTTCGGCGACGGCAAGGTCTTCGCCTGGGGCCAGAACTCGCACGGCCAGCTCGGCCTCGGCGCCAAGGCCGCCTGGTGCGTGCCCGGGCCCACGGAGGCCAAGGCCTGGTCCGCGCCGGGGACGCCCGTCTCCGCCGCGTGCGGCAAGAACCACACCTTGGTGCTCTACGCGGACGGCGCCGTCGCGTCCGCGGGCTGCGGCGAGCGGGGCGCCCTGGGCCACGGCGACAAGGCCAAGGACATGCCCGAGATGTCCCACGACCCCAGGGTCGTCGAGGCCGTCTCCGACGCCGTGTGTATCGCCGCCGGCACCGACTTCTCGCTCGCGGGCGCGTCCACGGGCAAGGTCTACTCCTGGGGCTGGACGGAGTTCGGCAAGCTCGGCCAGGGCGACGACGGCTGCTACAACACCAAGGACTCGAGCATCAAGCTCACCTACACGGCCGCGGGCGCGCCGGGGTTGGTCAAGGGCCTGCCCGCGGGCTTCGAGCCCGTGCAGGTCAGCGCGGGCAAGAACCACGCCGCGGCTCTGGGAGCCGACGGCGTGGGCTTCACCTGGGGCGACGGCGCCTACGGCAAGCTCGGCCACCGGTCCCAGGAGCAGCTCAACGCGCCCCGCGCGCTCGAGGGCGCGCGCTTCAGTAGCCTCCTCTGCGGCGACTCGTCGACCGCGGGCCTCGGCTGGCCCGAGTACCGGGGCCGGCCCTTCACGAAGACCGCCGGCGACGGCATGCTCTTCGTCTGGGGCGTGCTCAAGGGCACGCACGGCGAGGGCGCGACGCACCCGGTCCCGAACTACGACCTCCAGGGCTGGGCCATCGACAAGCACTGCCTCGGCGTCGGCGCGTCCCACTGCGCCCTCGGCGCCGAGGGCTCCGCCGTCGCCTGGGCGCTCATGCCCGTGGCCTACGGCCAGCTCGGCTACGGCGACGCCGGGCCCAAGAGCTCGCACCGGGCCAAGGAGCTCGACGCGCTCAAGGGCGCGGTCACGGCGCAGTGCGTCGCGTCGTCGGGCCAGACCCACTTCCTCTGCGACGCGGCGTCCGTGAGCTCGCTCCCCGTGTGGACGCCGCCGAAGCCCACGCAGCTCACCGCGCCGCCGGTCGCGAAGCGCGCGCCGCCGAAGAAGAAGGGCGGCCCCGCGGCCAAGAAGGCGAAGAAGTAGGACGCCCCGCGCGCGCGCCTAACCCCCAAGCTTCGGTCGCACTAGAGCGGCGCGCTGCGCCTCCGGTCGGGCCTCGCGGGCGCCGCCGCGGACGACAGCGCGCCGCAGAGGATGGCGTCGAGCCAGGACCCGCCGCCGTCGTCGGCGTCGTCGTCGTCGTCGCCGGCGCCCCGGGGCTGGAGGCGCCTGACGCGGTCGAAGGGCACGCGCCACCGCGGCGACGTCGACGGCGCGTAGGCCTCGCCCGGCCCGAGCATGGCCGCGTCGAGCGCGGGCACGCGGACGACGTCGGCGACGCCGTCCGCCGCCTCGAAGACGGCGCCGAGGCCGACGACGGCGCCCGCGCGGCCGTAGACCGCGACGGTGTCTCCCACGGCCGGCGGCCGCAACCGCGCGACGGCGCCGGGGAGCGTCTCCCACGCGCCGCCGTCGAAGCGCACGTCGAAGGTGCCGTCGCCGTGGTCCGCGACGACGACGCCGGGCATCGTGTCGTCCCAGGCCGGCGCGCCGGTCTCGTCGTCGCGGAGGCTCACGTCGACGTCGCGGCCGACG